AGACGACTTCGAGTCCCTCCGCGACTACAACGACTACCTCGAGCAAGTCGAAGAAATCAACTGGAACCTCATCCTCAACATCGACGTAGACGCGACCTGGGCAAAACTAAAGAAATTCGAGGCCCTCCAAAAAGCCGAATTAGAAGCCGCCGCCCGCAACAAGAGCACCGGGATAAAAGACGACGTAGACCCCGGTTTCGCAATTCGCGGACTGAAGAAGCGCGTCGCGCCACCCGTCGAAGCACCCTTCGACCCGTTCGGCGGCTACACCATCGCGCCACAATACTACGTCCTCCAGGACAGCTACGAGGTGGACTGGTACGCGCGTATGAAGCGAGATCCGGCGCATCTGGTGGGAGGACACAGCTTGCAAGACTACTGCAGTCGGACACTACGCGAAGCATTCGGTGGCCTGGGCGTCTTTGTCGAAGACGAGATTCCCGCGCGCGAAGCCCCGTCCATGTCCATGGACGCGGATGTTGGTACTGAGCATGCCGCGACGGCAGCCATGAGCAGAGATGTCATCATGGACGACGTTTTCTAGTTTTCTTGCACTGTGATACCCGGCTTCAGGCCAGCATTTGGGCGGCGTTGAGATAGCGTTTGTGTAGATGAGATTATTCTTCATGGCATTGTTCTAGGGATTATATCCTGCTTTGCCCGACCTCGCCCGCTGCCCCGTGATAGCCAATGTCGTTGTACTCGAACTGCTCATCCGGCAGCGCGTACCCATCTCCGCCTCTACCCCGTTGCGCCCGCGCAGCGATGGGATTCGGGTTGATGTCCCTTCTTGTATCCTCTTCATCTCTCTTCGCTTCCCCTCCATTCAGCACATCCAATTGCTGGAACACGCCCCTCGTCCTCGTGCCCCTCATGACCTTGACATCCAATCCTAACGCGCACCCCGTGGCAACAAAGCCCAACAACGCGAAGCTGAACAGCGCCTTGTACATCCTACACACACTGACTCCCGTGTCTGATTCCCAGCTGTCAGCGTCGCAAACGTGTGCCAACGTGCCTGAGCACCACCATGCCAGCAGAGCGAAAGACACAGTCCAAAGAAGCGCGAGGACGCTGTTGAGAATCAGGTTGAGGGACGCGGATAGGCCGTGGCGGAAGTGTAGGACGATCGTGGTTGTGAGTGCGGCGAGGGTGAGGAGGGATACAGTCATTAGCTGGGTAATAGTTAGTAATGCAATAAACGAATGTAGTAGGTAAATAGCCAGAACGAAATGACGAAGGGACTTACCAAAATAAACGTCCACGGCAACCTATACCCATCATGCGCCAATTCACGCAGGAAGTAAAACATTATACTCGCTACTACGAGCGAAGAAACCAGTTGCGCGCATCGTATGATGTGGAATGGGAGGAATGGGTACGCTGTGGGCTTCACCCGCGTCTTGCGCGGTGCCATCGTGGGCTAGAATGTGACGTGCTGTTTGGCGTTGTCGGCAAAGATGAAGTATGTACAAGACAATGATAGAGGTGTTAGTAGATGAGCAAAGATCGCATCTCCGTCACGCCCATGTTGAGACGCGGAGTTGAGACTAAACTAGGGGTCCAGCTGGCTGGTCTGGGCAGCTCAAGTTTCTCGTGTTGCGGCGGTTGGGCCGAGATGCCACCTTTTGGACGAAAGACATGTGGGAGAGTTACAATTCTTCTAGAGACTCGAATGAATAGGTTGGAGAGTAGTTGCGGTGTATTGTTGTGAGGATAGCCTTGTTCGTTCCTGCTGATAGAGGATCTCAGGCACCCGACTAGCGCGCCTGCCCACTTGGGCGTTTCGGCGTTCTACAGCTTTTGACTATGATTTTATCGACGGCTGATTCTTTCTTCCACGCTTTACTTCGTTTCTGCTACACGCACCTCTACTGCTCGCGTACGTTCGGAACAACGGAAAGATAGCGTTGGCGGCAGAGTTGAACGTATCCTACGGGCTACGGCCATGGCCAGTGCCACCAGCGTGAAATACGGCTCGCGCATGATGCACCGTCCTACAAAAAAGCCTCTAGTTCCCGTTCATCAACTCCCGGACCCACATTGCGGCTGAGTAGTCGGACAAGTCTTCACCATGTCCCCGGAAGCCATAGGTACCATGTTCCCGATGGGATGGCTCTCAGCATGTCGACAACGCCAGGGATCGCGACCGCACCACCTCGAGAGCACCAGAAAGCACTGAAGCTCCTACGAAGTATTCAGATTACTCATACGAGATCCCCGGTAGACGGCGTAAGGACGCAGGCAAAGAGTGGGTGTTGTGCCCGCCCCTGTCCCGTCTCGCATCGGATAAAATGGATACACGATATCAGGCCCGCACCTGCATACGGAATCTTGGATCTCGGCCCAAGATCTCGATGTCGCTAGCATGCTTTTCCTAGTTCAGTAGCGCTGACAAGCAATTTATATTCTGCTGGTATGCTCGAGGGCGGCGATTTACCGGTCTCCAAGTCCTTCGTTGGCTATTCATTCTTTTGAGAGAGCGCTGCTTTTCTACGGGACGCGATTATGAAGTTACAGGCATCCACTTTGCTGGCGTTTGCGCTGTTGGAGTATGGTAGTGCCGCAGTTTTCGAGCGGGAGGCAAAGGGAGCGGTTAATGCCAGCTCTTATGACTTTGTACGTTACCTATCGAAGCCAACAGGTTCCATCCCGACTCTGAAGATGATCTAACAGACGATATAGATTGTAATTGGAGGTGGAACTGCAGGTCTCGCCGTCGCTTCACGCATCAGTCTTGGACTCCCAGATCTCAACGTCCTTGTCATAGAAGCTGGACCCGATGGCCGCCAGGAACCAGGTATCAGCGTACCAGGAAGAAAGGGATCAACACTTGGTGGCAAATATGACTGGAACTTCACCACCATTGCGCAACCCGGCGCCAACAACCGCGTCTTTGCGCAGAACCGTGGCAAAGTCCTCGGAGGATCCTCTGCTCTCAATCTCATGACATGGGACAGAACTTCCGAGTACGAACTGGACGCATGGGAGAAGCAGCTCGGCAACAAAGGATGGAACTGGAAGAACTTGTACGCTGCGATGTTGAAGTGCGAGACATTCCTGCCGTCGCCGGCATACGGCACCGAGGGAGTTGGCACAACGGGGCCCATCCGCACGCTCATCAACAGGATCTTTCCCCGTCACCAGTCCTCATGGTATCCCACCATGAACAGCCTCGGCTTGGCGACGAATCGAGAGAGCCTCAACGGTAACCCCATCGGTGTCTCGACTCAACCGAGCAACGTCAGCCCCAACTACACTCGCTCGTACGCCCCAGAATACCTCAAACTCGCCAAGGATAATCTGGTCTTGAAGCTACATACCCGTGTGGCGAAGATCAACTTCAAAGGAAAGACTGCTGTCGGCGTCACGCTGGAAGACGGTACAACAATCACCGCGCGAAAGGAGGTCATCCTCTCGGCTGGATCGTTCCAAACTCCTGGTCTTCTGGAACACTCCGGTATCGGCAACTCTACTCTCCTCAAGAAGCTCGGTATTCCCGTCGTTAAGCATCTGCCTTCGGTTGGCGAGAACCTCCAAGATCACATTCGCATCCAAATCTCCTACCAGTTGAAGCCCGAATACCCTTCCTTCGACGTCCTGAAGAATGCCACCCGCGCGGCTGCCGAGCTAGCCCTTTATAACGCGGACGAGGTGTCACTTTACGACTACACCGCCAGCGGCTACGCATACTTCCCCTGGGGTACCGTCAGCAACTCCACCGCTTCCACGCTCCGAAACCTCGTTGACAGCGACGCGAGCTTGACTTCTGCGACCGACAAGTTGAAGAAATCATACTTTTCCCCCGCTCTCAGCACAAAGGTCCCCCAGCTGGAAGTCATCTTCTCAGACGGCTACACGGGTCTGAAAGGCTACCCCGCCGCCAACTCCACCCAATTCGGCATCGGCACATTCGCACTAATCGGCGTGGTTCAACACCCCCTCAGCAAAGGAAACGTCCACATCTCCTCCCTTAACATCAGCGACAAACCGCTCATCAACCCAAACTACCTCTCCCACCCCTACGACCTCGAAGCCGCGACAAACCTCGCCAAATACATGCGTAAGATCGCTTCCACCGCGCCCATGAGCGAAGTCTGGACAAACGAGTACGAACCGGGCAGTGCTGTGCAAACTGATGCGGATTGGCGCAAATATGCGCTGGCGAATACGTTGAGTATTTATCATCCTATTGGTACTGCTGCGCTGCTGCCGGAGAAGGATGGTGGTGTTGTGGATGCGGAGTTGAAGGTCTATGGTACTAAGGGGTTGAGGGTGGTGGATGCGAGTGTTATTCCTCTTTTGCCGAGTGCGCATTTGCAGACGCTTGTTTATGGGATTGCGGAGAGGGCTGCGGAGATGATTGTGGGGGAGTATAGTTAGGTGGTAGGTTGTCAGTGAATATGTCCACGATACTTGGATCAAAGATGTTGACTGAGCGGCAAGACAGCTGCACCAGATTACACAGGCACGCCAACCTTAGAAAAATCTGAACAGGTCTAGAGCCTACATCGACGTTAAGACACCTACTTTGCAGGGTTCTATGTTAATGTAGGCTGCAGACATATTCGGTTTTATGCTTGTATGAGGTGCAGGTCTCTGTAACTGGCGCGTTATTCCATGCCGGTCATGCTTCATAAGCGTGTTACTTCCTTCTTCTAAGGCCTCCCGACCCGTTTGGGCTAGCTTCCCTTCCCCCGCATGTAGGGCCGACCTTAACCATCACTATTTGGAAGCCGCCGATGGCGACATGCCGCGGCATCACTACCAATGCGCCCTTCGGATGACACCTCAACAATTCGGTGCAAAGCATTATTAGGATAGATGCCGACGGCAACAAAGTCATCCTTGGAAGGGATGAGCCTCGTCACCAGAGCATGACGCCCAATAATTCTTCCTAGCAGTACAAGCTACATAACCCAGAGCTCGGACAGACGACGTCGGTCAACTAACTACACACCACGAAAACCTCCCTCAGGTTCACTCCACAAGCTATCAACATGTCTTTCTCGATAGGCATGCCCTGGAACGAGGGCGAAGAGAAGATGCACCGCCTCCTCCGCATTCCGCCTCAAGACAACCCAACATCAGCCATGCTCACACCACAAGCAGCGTTCATGTTCCAACGCGCCCCTCTACTCGCATTCGGGACTCTAGATGCACAGGATCGGCCTTGGACGACACTATGGGGTGGCGAGCCTGGTTTCTCGGAGCCGCTTGGTGGAGGGTTCATCGGTACAAGGACTCTCGTCGACGGCAAATGTGATCCTGTTGTGCAAACGCTCGTGGGTGGAGGGGAGAAAGGCGAGAAAGGCGAGATGACACAAGCGAAAGACGGTGGGAAGTTAGTAGCAGGTCTAGCCATCGACCTGATGACGAGGAAGAGAGTCAAAACCGCCGGCCGCATGATCGCAGGGACGATAAAAGACGTCGAAGTCGAAGTAGAAGGCAAGGAAAACAGGGAACAAACACAACTCCAACTCGTCACCAAGATCGAGCAAAGTCTAGGGAATTGCCCAAAGTACCTCAACCAATACGAGATCCGGCCCGCGCTTTTGGACCCAGAGCTCGTATCGCAAGGCTCGTCAGTGTGTGAAGAAGGAAGAAAGCTGATATCCAAATCCGACATGTTCTTCCTCTCCACCAGCACAGAAGACGACATGGACGTCAACCACCGCGGCGGCCCACCAGGCTTCGTCCGAATCATCTCCCCCACTATCCTTGCCTATCCCGAGTATTCTGGGAACAGACTCTACCAATCCCTCGGCAACCTGATGCTCAATCCGAGAATTGGGCTCACGATTCCTGACTACGAGACTGGAGATGTGCTGTACATGACCGGCACGACCGAGATCCTCGCTGGGGCAGACGCATCCGCCCTCCTCCCAGGCAGTAACTTGGCTGTTAAGATAATGATCGAGGAATGTCGGTTTGTGAGAAAAGGTTTACCATTCCGCGGCACGAAGAAAACACCAAGTCCCTACAACCCACTCGTCCGCATACTAGCTACCGAAGGCAACATCCGCGCCGCCCTCTCCTCTTCCACGTCCCCCTCCACGCGGCAAACAGCCCTTCTCACAAAGAAAGAGATCCTCACACCAACCATCGCACGCTTCACCTTCTCCGTTTCCGACGGCTTGTCCTACCGCCCTGGCCAATGGATCGCGCTTGATTTCAGTCAAGAGCTCGATGTGGGGTATGAGCATATGCGGGATGAGGATCCGGGGAGCTTGAATGATGATTTTGTTAGGACGTTTACGATTTCTTCGACTCCGATACGGGATGGAGGAGACGAGGGTAAAGAGGGGACGTTTGAGATTACAATCAGAAAGGTCGGGGCTGTGACTGGGTTCCTATTTCAGCAGAATGAGCGGGCGGGGTTGGAAGTGGGTATTTTGGGGATAGGTGGGGAGTTCAAGGTCGAAAGTGCTAGTGCTGGAGAGGGGGAAAACGTGTTTGTAGCTGGTGGCGTGGGTGTCACGCCTTTATTCGGCCAGATCGGTGGGCTGGATTTACAAACTGGCAAGTTTATGTTACTTTGGGCGGTGAGAGGAGAGGACGTGGGGTTGGTATGGGATACATTTCAGCGTTATCCTGGGCTTGGGCAGTGTACAATGCTGTATTTGTCTGGGCAGGTTATGGGGGAGGAGGGAGCTAAGATGGGAGATGAGGTTAAGGCGCAGGCAGATGAATTCGTGGCGAGGAGGATGATGAAAAGTGATATAGATCATATGCGGGTTGAGACTTGGTATGTGTGTGCTGGGAAGGGGATGAGGAAGGAGGTTACTGGGTGGCTGGAAGGGCAGAAAGTGGTGTTTGAAGATTTTGATTACTAGGAGTATGTACAAGACAATCACGTCTTTCGCGAATGTCTGAGGTCTCGCGATGTTGATGAAGAAGGCACTGTGTCGAAAAGTGAAGGTCGCCAAACCGCGCTTTCCTCGTCACTGTTGGTGACTGCCACATGAACTTCTCCATGACAGCATTTTCCTCTTCCAGCCCATGACGTCCGAAACTTACGATGGCAGCCCATCTGCACCTGCCGCCAACGACAACAACCATTCCAACCCACATGAAGTCGCTTCCGCATTCCCACCTTCACCTCTTCTACATTACTGTTACCGCCGTGCATCACTCAGCGTACGACATTCTCGCAAACAGTTCCTTCGAATCCACACAGCATGACGGCTACCACTACAGAACAGACGACTACTACAACCAATAGCAAGCATGGAACAGCGAAGAAGTGGCTGCAACGGCATCTGCGCAAAGTGGCATCGCGACAGACTTTGAAGAACGACGAGGGACCAATTGAGATACGGCGAAAACCATCAGTCAGGCGGCCGCGTACGGCACCTTCAACAGGAGCGACACCGAGCCTGCAAGATGCACCGCCAGTACCCCCGCTCCCAATACTTGTAGAGCGGGTGTCGCCTCGACCGCCGGTTCTACCTCCTCTTCGTCCAGCGAGACCTGATTCTGGCGTGATACGGGACGTCAATGCATGGCTCGACGCTAGCATGAACACGCCTTCACCCCCGCTCATGGGAGGCCTTTCGTATTGGAGAGCAGCGACAAATGTAGGTACCAAAGACTCCGCAGTGGCTCAGCACGCTATCCCCGTGGTTGGAGCACCAGAAGTCGTCAGACCATCGACAGCCACCAGTCAACACGGAAAGTCGTTCCTTCGTTGCGCCAAAAAGATGCAGGTTCAGATGCCTTCGCTTTTACGAACCAAGTCTCAGCGCCAGGCATGTCGGAAGCAAATCAACAGACAGTCAGCATCGATGCCACTCTTAGCCATCTCCTACGAGGATGTTGCGGAAGCCCCTGGTACCATGCTCATGTCCCGATCTGGATCGCTTCGTCGCCCCGTCACAAGGCCATCGACACGACACCCTTCGACGCGCGCCAGTGCGCTTCTGTCCATCGACCAACAGTCGCAGCTACCCTCCCGGATGGGCACGCCAGCGAGTGCACGACACGGCGATACAGAGAGCGTCTTTGAGCGCCGTCTCAACGCCATATTCATGCGCACGGCACGAAGCGCAGACAGCACCCGGCCATCGACAGCAGCGGCCGGTCTCATCCGCGAAGACTCGATGGGCGATCTTTCCGATGCCCCGACATACTTCTCGGGACCTCCACCACCTTCTTACCGGTCGCGCCCTGAGTCTCTGCTCAGCACTTCTTCTTTCGGCTGCATCGATGGCATGAACCCTACACAACGACAAATCAGTCAGCAGCGAGCGGCATTACAACGGGGAATGAGGTGCAAGCTGAAGAGATTCGCTCAAGGACTTGCAACATGAGAAGCGACGACAAGGCAGACGCGAGGTGAGACATGAGACGACGATGATGACTGACGAAGGGATGACCGGAAGACATATACCATATACGAGCACATGACTATACGACTGTTTACCTTGGAGAGCTGGCATCTTCATACCCATAACAGGGGGGTTACTCTTTCAGTCGGTACACTGAGGGATGCGCAAGGCGCGCGGTATTTAGCACAACTGCATCAGATATAAAGTAGGGTCTTAGTTCATAATAGATAATGCAGATACAGCACAGGATGTGTCGTGAAGTGATGTTGGAATGCGCGGTAGTGGTAGTGAAGAGGTGAGAGCACGGTCATATGACGTGGGGACGGGCCGCGGTGAACCTAAAGCGGTTGGGGCGTTTTCACCGCCTACTCATTTGATGGCCGGGCATGCACTCCACCATCTCCATCAACATCATTGGGCCCAACGTGGCACGCTGTACCACGTCTAACGCTCCAACGCACACAATTGAATCTCCATGGCCGCCCGTTGATCCGCTCGGCTGCCAGCACAACGAAACCCAGCTGGCTGCTCCACTCGACTCCTACGATCCGCAGACTTGCATCATTACGTGCAGCTCCTACAGCCAAACGGCTCCCCGACCTCACCTCCCTCGACACGCGCGCGAACGTAAGCATGGCTTCGGCAGACGATTCTAATTCGCGGCCCCAGCGGCCAGCCGCCATGACCAGACAGTCGTCGTCGCAGTCGCACATCTCGCAGTCGCCGTCCGAGGGCGCCCAGCGCTCAGCCCATCACAAGAGCCAGCGCCATCATGTCGTCGGCCAACGCGTGCAGAGGAATACCTCCTTTGGCAAGAACCTCAACAAGCTGAGCAAAGCCGAGAAGCAGGCCCAGCAGGCGCTCCAGGGCGCAGAAAACACCGGGCGACACCACCGCCGCTCGCAGTCGGGCAATTCCATTTCGGCGCCCAGCAGCCCACACGCGCGTCCCGGAATGAAGCGCCATGCGTCTTCCGGCGCCGTTGTGAGAGCAAACACCCAGCAGGCAAATCTGCGCAAAAACCACTCGAGCGGCCATCTCCCGCCGCGGCAAGGGCATGCGAAACACGCGCTCAAGGGGTCCAAGAACGAGAACGCTACTTCCAAGCGTGCGCTCGCGACTCCCTCTCGGTCTCGGCAAAGTTCTCCGGAGCCACACGCCGCGGTCCACTTTGACATGCCCAATGACGACGAGGAAGGAGACGAGGGCGGGTGGACCGAAGAGAGTGCGTCACAGTCGCCCACTACTACCCGATCCAACACGCGCTCCAACTCGGTCATACTCGAGGCACAACACAGAGCGGCGGAGATCAACATGGAGAAGAATAGAGGAGAGTCGCAACATCCGGCCGGCACAGCTCGAGAAGCGCCCAGCCAGGCCACTCAGACGCTCACCGACCGCACGCGCACAAACACGCAGGTCAACGGCGGGAGCTCCTATCAACATTCTCGGCCTCCAGATGCTGATATGATCACATCGCGACTACTACAGCGCAGCGCCTCGCACCATGTCGCTCCCCAGACATCGTCAGTCGCTGCGACCGTCGTATCCTCCTCCGATCGTCATAATCTGCTCAGTCACACAGCTGGGTCTGTTGGATCTACGCTGGTCGACACACCAGGAAACAACCTGGTGTCGCGCTTTATGGACGGAGACGGTTCCGCTGGGACACCTCACGATGGCGAGTACATGGCTGCGCATCAGCTCAAAGACGACACCGATGAAGGGGAGGTGGACAAGATCAAGCGCAACAAGTCAATGCCAAACTTCAAGGGCGGCGCGGACACACCCTCCAAGACGCCTCAGCGCTCTGGCGCGACTACGCCAACCAACCTACCCCCGTCGCGGACACAGCAGAAGCTCATGCTTCAACGTGCGTCGTCCAACATTGAACCGCAGAAGCTCGTTCCCGTAACGCTTCCCCGCACGGGCGGTCCCACATACCTTCAGTCCAGCATCCACTACAACGGCAATGGTGAGGGGCGTCTAGATCCACGCTTGCAGCAGCAGTTCAACCACGTCGCGGTCGAGTACAATGTAGTGCGAAGGTACCGCAACCCAATTGCAGACGCGCTTGCACGAATCTACCAAACGCCTGGCATGTCGCGCAAAATCCGCGTACCCAAGTCGCACGGCGCAAATGGCTTCACGACAGGAGCCAGCAGCCTGAGCACAAGTTTCAACGAAAGCGGCGTCGAAACAGATGGGACGGGCTCGCGGAGATCACGAGTCAGTTTCGACCACGATGCAGGTCGCGGCAAGACTAGTCGCGACGAGAACGACTTTCAACAGAGTTTCGAGAGTGACCAGGCTCGCAGCCGAAACGAAGCCGAGGAGATCTGTCGCCGTTTATGGGAGAGTGCCGAAGTAGTCGAAGCCGACTGAAGACAATAGTGTGGTTTGTTTGGCGCACGGCGCTGATCAAACATTCACGACTCGCAGCGCGGCGCTCTGTTTGCATCTTTGCGACTATTGTGTGAGGGGATTGCCGAGACTGTTTTACTGTCCAGGTTCGTGCGTTCGCTTGCTTCCCTTTCTTCTGCATTTTGCCGTAGTCGGCGCTGGGAGATGAGGGAATGAGCGTCTTTGTTCTCTCCATCGTGGGCTGCACGCACGGGTTGCTATGGCGCAAGGGGGCTTTGTCTAGTCTGGCTGGAAACAGCATGGTGTTGGGGGGAGGGAAGAGAGCATTTGCGAATATTGTCGCGCCGGCAATGAAGCCGAAGAGGCATGCATGAAAGTCGTGGTGGTGGTGGTCGTTGCTGTTGCTGCATTTGCATTTTGCGCTCAAACTAACTTTTTGCGCGTGGCACAGAGTCGTGGTTCCCCGTCCTAAACCTTGCGGACTGGCGGAGGCGTTTGGCATGACACGACACAACACACGACCGTTGGTTCGATCGAGGAAACGAAAGCGAGTGCGATGGATGGAGATGATTTATTGTCAAATTTGCGCGTGCGCGCGCCCTCGATTTCAATCTGCCCGTCCGCCCGTGTTGCAAGCATGCGAGCCTCCTAGGTCGCATTGCACAGGCGCGCACTTGCTTGGCCTGGTTTGCGTTCATTTGAGAAAGAGCGGAAGTTAGGAGCTGGATTTGCAATGGCGCTTCAATGCGATGGATGGGTCACGATGCGAAAGGCGGAAATGAGACAAGAAAGAAGCCCATATTGTGTACTAGTAATGGTAGGGGTAGTGCGGCGGGCTAGGTAGGGAGCCAATCATGCGCCTATGCTCGCTTGTGTAATTGTAATTTCAATTCTTGCAGCGGAAGATCGTTACTTGTTCCTGTGTGTGTCAGTGAGTGGGTTTTTTGATTTTCCTCACGATATGCGACTTCGCATTGATGGTGATGTGTTGGCGAGCGCATCTGGACGCTTCACATGCTACTGTGAAGATTACTTTGAGTCACAAGATGCATCGCCGTGCATATGTTGAGCAGTACTACGCAAGCAAAACTCTTTGCAAGAAATTCTCTACACAGTTCCACACCACCATCATAGCACTTTCTCTCCATCGCTTCGTTGTACCGTACCGTCTCTTCCGCGTCCAGCACAGCGCGCCAAGGTGTCCAGGCAACAATAGCCTCGTCTTGCCGCCGACCACGCTGTTCACCTCACCCCGAGGGCTATAGATGGGTAGATGGGATGGGTCTGAGACGAGGCGGGCGCTGGTTGGCTTACTGTGTTACCCAGAACACATGTCGCAACGGGTAGCGTGCCACGAGTGCGCGAGCTGAGAAGTTCGAAAGGTGCGGTGTAATAGCACGACGAAATTTGTCGTGCTGGCTCCAGTCAAGTCACGTTTCCGCCCTGAGTGGCCCGCCGCCCGGTGTACAGCGTCCAGCAGTCGTGCGTCGTGCTGGCCTAGCTGCCTCCAGTCGCGTTTCCGCCTTGGAGGCCGACAGACGGCACGATTCGCTGCGCATTGTTTCAGTGTCCGTGCTTTGAGGCGCGACACCGTGGAGTCAGGCTACTCAGGCTGGAGAGGAATGTGGAACGCATGGGGTGAGAGAAGTTGCCTGGGGTGATGGGCGTTGAAACTTGGCTGCACCTTGAGCATGGTGAGGATCATGGGGCGTGAACCTTGAGTTCGCAGATGAGGTGGGCGATGACAGCATCTCAGCGAGTTTCCTCAAGGTTGCCCCTAGCGATGGGAGTGAGAAGTGAGGTCACCACCCGCCCGTCACGAGGATGCAGCAAGCGTGCAGCACGTTGGCCGTCGAGTGGGTACCTCGGTAGTTCAGCGTGCAGCGCGACACCTCAGGCCAACCACAGGAGCGGGCGCGGACTGGGATGCAGTGCAGAGATTTGCCGTGGCCGCCCATTGCCAAGCGCCAGATCGGCAGCTTCCTTGCTCAGGTACTCCCGTTAGCACGCCCGAACCTGCGTTAGCGCGCCCAGGGGGACCGAAATTGCGCTTTGGCAGTGGGAAATTGCACTGGCGGCAAGGATGCTAGGAACACGATACAAGGCGCCGGGGGCGGCCCACCTGGGTTGCCCGTTGTTTCCCCTTCACCCTCCTCAAACGTTGCGAGACAAACCCTCTTTTACTCTCTCTCGCTCTCTCACGATCTTTTAAAGCTTTAAGCTTACCCACACTCATTACCACGACAAGTAGTATCCTTGATATCTCACTCTCTCTATCACTTGGTCCAAGACTATCCACACTGCTCTCTCGCATTCCAAACAAAACAAATCACCGTCGCTCATCTCAAACGCACCTGCATAACACTTGCAACCCTCACTTCTTCTGATTCGACATCGAAGCACTGCACATTCACAGTCGCATATCCCACCACCACAACTACTACCGTCCTTCACCACCAACCACCAAACCAACCACTAAAATGCGCTCCTTCACCCAAATCATCACCGCGCTCTTCGCGCTCCTCGTCTGCGCCTTCGCCCAGGAAGACCAGTACGACGCCACCGTCTACATCACCTCGACCGTCTACCGCGTCAACACCGTGACCGCGTCCTCGTCATCCCCCGCCGGCTACACCGCCGCAAACAGCACCAGCACCATCTCCGCCACGCACCCCACCATCGTCCCCTCGTACGCCGCCGGCAACACCACCGCCAGCATGGCCATGCCCACTGCCTCCGGCCCCATGGCCAGCGCCTCCGCTTCCATGCCCCCTCAATTCGAGGGCGCCGCTTCCTCGCTCCAGATCAACGGTCTTGTTGTTGCGCTCGCGGCTGGTGTCGGGTACCTCGTTCTATGAACGTGAGATTAACGGTTTTTCGCCATCAGAGACTGGCAGCGCATGTCTTTGATTCAACCCAAACCCTTTTCTCATGTTACATTGTTTTCTAAACAACACCCATATCACGAGGATGTATGTCCGTTTACGTCTTGTCCCTGCCTCTGTTTGCGCTTTGCATCATACCCCCTTTTTACTTTCCCTGGACTTGTCCTCGGGTACATTTGTTCTACGTTCTAGGATTACCGAATCCTCCTGTCACATTACCCACACACACACTCCTTTGTAATCACACACTATCTTTCTCTTGTCTGCGACGATTGACGAAACTTTGTGGGATTATATCAACAACTACTGGGTAATACTGGAGCTTTGGAATCTTGCCTTTGTTTGTAGTCGACCAACATTTTCTTTTGTTAGGTTGGTCGACCTTCTGTTATACCCCCACCCCCCTTTTAGGCGCGCGATTAGGACGCTGCTATGCGAATGCGATATCTCATCACATGACACACGTACTACTTGGAGGTCCCATACTCTGTACCTGGTTGACCGCGGCTTGCCGCGCACCTCCTTCGTCTGTACTGTGTGTCTGTCTTCGCTTGCTTTCTCTGCGCGGTCTCTATGATTTGCGGCTGCCTACTTCTCTGGTGGAGCTGGAGTTTGGTGATACCCCGATACCTACTTTTTTTTGAGAGTGCGATTTAGCTTGGTGTTTTACTTTGAGAGAGTGGAGGAGATGATAGGATAGGATAGGATAGTATAGTTGAGAATGAAGAACTTACTTGTTCCATCGATTTGACTCTTTCTTCATCAATATGACTGTGCGCTTCACAACCTCGCCCACAACCCGCTCACCAACCAGAGACTCTAACAGCCATAACCGATCCAAACCCGAACCCGACCGTAATCACCGTATGCGCCACTCTTAGTCTTTCATTCCGACCCTAATACCACCGTTACTTCGCCTGTCCACTGTCAGTCAGTTGGCAAAAGTGGAAATCAGCCGAACATGTCGATCGCCATTACGGCCCCGACCGAAAGAAAGCAAGTACTTCGAACGGACGCAGGAGCTAGACATGACTAAGAACAATGCACGGAGGTCTAGAAGCGAGACTGTGGGGATGCTGTTCGGCTGTGGTTGCCGAGTAGATGGGAGGATTTGGTGGAGTTGGGTTGGTGGTGGGATGGGCGGTGAGGATGCGGTGATTTTGCGAGATGGAGATTGGGTTTGGGCAATTGGGCGAATGGGGTTTGATGGTTGTGGTGGAGATGGGTTGAGCAAGGTGATTGTGGGAAAAGGGGGAAGAATGAAATGGAGGTTCATGTGGGCATGTGGTGTATGTTTGTAGTAGACGATGGTGTGGGTGATTATCGAGTCCGACGGCTGGTCGCATGTACTTGATTCCGCTGGCTGGCATGAGCGCAGATCACGGTTCAAAGTTGAGGTTTCCACACTGTTTTTTTTTTCTTCCCGGTCTTGAATTACTGCCTTATCATCCTTCTGATTTCACGTATCTATAAAATGTATATCCTCTCACAAACGCATCTTGTCATAGGCCATGGTGTATATCAAAACCACATTTCACTTGCACATCTCCGTCTGCTTCTACTCTTACCACCTACTCCCTCCCGTCCCCAACAATCACCGATAACTCCCCCCCACCGGCCCCTCCAACCCAAAACAACTCGCAAAATAACTTACCGTCCCCGCCCAATCCGTAAAAAGCCCCTTAACCCCCACCTCCCTAACCAACACATCCAACACCTCATAATACTGCCCATCATAACTCACCACATCCGCCACACTCGCGAAATAATACTCCGCATCCCTCTTCACATTCGCCAGTGGGCCGCTCCTTTCAAAAGTCCAAGCAATAATATCCATGCCATTCGCCTTAATCGCTTTCGCGTACTCGCTTTCCACAATCGTCTTGTTATCCGCGCCGCCAACGGAAAGTAACATGGGCAGCGAGGGCGCGATGATATTCACGCCTGCGGCGCGTGCGATGGATAGGTTTGCGAATCCGGCGGCGAGGTCAGACGGTGTATCAAACTCCTGCAGATACACAGCCTGCGCACCAAAATCTCCATCATTATCAATCCAATAAACCACATCCTCAAACAAGAAACTCTGCGGCCACACACGATCCGCACTTATCCCCTTTTCGCGGAACGCAGATATCATGTCGGACGCATATTGAGCCTGTGTGTAGTTTCCTAGAAAGGGCATAGGGACGGCGGCAGGTGGTGTTTTTAACTCGGGCGTGAAGTTGCGGTAGCCCGGGTAGGAGTCTACGAGGTCGATGTAGGCGTTTAGGGTGAGGGTGCGGGCGCACGTGTCGTAGAGTTCTGTGCGCCAGAGGGGGGTGCCGGCTTGGTAGGTGAGCGGGGTGGTGGCGGAGGCGTTGAAGCCGTCTTGTTTGCTGCAGAGGGTGGTGACTTTGTTTTGTTAGTTTGATTTTGTGTCGCGGGTACTTGGGGTGGAGGTGGAGGACGTACATTCATCGATTGTGATGTCTGATGTACAGCATAATGCGTTCGCGGGACTTGTTGCATTCGCTGGTGTGAATGGCGTGGTGCATTTTGCTGCCAATTCGGGCCTGAGCAGGATATCTGTTGTTCGGTGTAGATCGCATAGATCGTGTCTGCACACTAATCCCCTGTCGCTTGTGAAAGCTACATCGCATTCCAAGATACCAGCGCCCATCCGCGCACCGGCATCTTGAGACCGGATCGACTCTTCTGGGAATTGGAGTGTGCCTCCACCGCGGTGGCCGATTGTGAATGGAGAGATTGACACCGGAGTATTCTCGCACGACTGCAGTTTCCGCTTCAACGGACTATCAGTCATGTTACTGATGATGTAGTACGGTCGCGGCCCGACAGAGACGAGATAATCCATGGCATTTTCCAGAGGCGTATGGTGGTGCTTGCTAACAGCCGGGTAACCCAGAGCTGTAGCAGCGAGACCCAGTACCAGCAATTGGCTCATAGGTATCGACGAATAGAAAGTGACTTCTTGTAGGAACGAAAAAGACGACAAGAAACCAACTCACCACTCCTCAACCCCAACCAAAGCCATCCATCTTTTATACCTACCCAACGTCGTCAGCCCGCTCGAGCTAAACAACCTTCCCCTACGTCAACGACAGGCTCAATTAACGACCCTAGCCATAAGCTGCAGGAACGGACGCATACTAGCCATCCATCTATCCCATGTGCGCGGCACGCAGCGGGATAGATCCCAGTCGGCAAAGCTTGAACAAAGCTTGCGTGAGCTTCATCAGCCGTAAGAAAAGCTTAGTGTAGTCCAAAACCGTGTGCAAAGCGGAAGACCGGACGGGCTACCTAGGTATGATTGCACGTGGGCAGGATAGGCGGTTGTCGTTCAACGCGGGTGCAGGTGCAATCGGTTGGGATTGCGCCGGTTGGTTAGCGCGTGTGGGGCGCATGCTGCGTGCATGTAGGTACGTGGGCGCGTTGGGGTGACCCCGCATGTGCTTTTGTGAACGATGGGGCAATGTGAGAGGAGGTTTTGTTGTATTACCCTGGGATTGGTGAGTTGAGCGCTTGGTACAGTATTTGAAGAAGTGGTAGGAACGCTGCGAAGCACATCTCGTTAGTTGACTTTGACAGCATGGTCATGTACTCCACGGAACTCTGTCACGACGTTAGCACATTTCCTATCGCTTCTCATCTCATCTCAGCATCCAGATTCATAGAGAAAAATACAGGAGGTACCAATCTAACCACGCTCAATGCCCTGCATCTCAGGACCCAGGCTTGGACCGGACCATGGCGCGTCCAGCAGGCCTCTGTTATGCTCATTGATTTCCTGCCGTATCTTCTCTTTCTCCTCTTCAGTATTATTCGAATCGTAGAGATTGCCATCGTCATCCTCCGATGAACCCGATGGAGTTGACATTGAAGCCGCGCTTACCTTGCGGAATGTCCTCTCCGTAGGATTCGTCGAACACGCTTCCCTTCGAGCAGGTCTGGCAGATGAGGCGACAGTCGTTGGTGGCTGGTTCACCGGCGGTGGACGTACGGTCGCTGCTCGTGATGAAGGAAGTGGGGGAAAAGAAGAATTAAATTCTCGTTCTTCTTCGGGTGAGCGTGAACGATGGTGCGTCGGGGTAGGATGTGCGTCTTTGCCTTCCCGACGTGGATGCTTCTGTATAGGACGTAGAAGTGTGTATGCTCGTCTTGCAGCATCTCTGTATAGATCTTGTCTGGTTTTTGCTTGCTGAGTGTTCACCAGTCTGTCAGCCCGTGGCCCTGTGGGTATCCGGTGTTGGTTTTCCTTGATCCGATCCTGTTCTGGAACGGGTCTGGCTTCTGCCTGCCGATTTCTCGCCAGTCTGTCAGCTTTGGGTTCCGTTGGTATGAGTTGTTGGTCCGCCTTGATCCAGTCGTCCTCAGGACGCGCATCTTGTTCGGGAACGAGCTTGGTGTCTGCTTGCCGAACCTTCGCCAGCCTGTCAGCTTTCGGCTCCGTCGGTATTGATTGCTGGTTCTCCTTGATCCGATCGTTTTTGATATGTGCATTTTGTTCTGGATCGGGCCTGGTTTCTGCCTGCCGATTCCTCGCCAGTCCGTCAGCTTTTGGCTCCCGCGGTATCAGTTGTTGGTTCTCCCTATGCGCATCTTGTTGTGGGACGGCTGATGCCTCCTCCGTCTCCTGCCGGTCGGCTTTGGGCCCCTTGGGTACCCGATTCTCTTCTAACCAGTCCTTCTCGGTCTGTGCATTTTGTTCTGGAACGGATGAGGAATTTTGTCTCCTAGTACCACCTCCCATGCCTCTGACCGGAAAGCCGTAGCCAACTCCTCTACCCCTTCCACCTTCGAAAGTATTGAGCGCTCCGCCATTCAAAGTGTTATTAAAGCCTCTTCCACCTCTTCTTCCACCATCGAAGTTACGGGAACTCCTTTCTCTCCAGCCATTGGCATATCCTCGGCTTCCACCTCGTCCACGCGGTGATCCAGACATGGCGTCAAATTGCTCGAATACTGTTTTCTTCCAAGTTGAGAGTGACAAACAATAAAGTATGTCGCTCCAAGTATAACAACGATCCGCGACTTCCATCCAGCAGTTTGTGTCGCCAGCTCCTTATTCCGGTGCTTTCGTCACCAGTCCATGTCTTGGATCACATGCGGAACCCAGACGCTTCTCCATGCAGCTGGTCGGATTCCCACCAGACTACGCTCAGATATTTAGCTACCTTAAAATCCACCAACACTATTCCATTCTCTACTACACCCAGCACAGCCCAACCTCCTAATGCGCCCCCTCGCACGTTTCCGCAAACGCATCCTCTACGCCCGATCAACGCTCCGCCTCACCCTCTGCGCAGACGGGAAACGACGCTGCCGTAAAAGACGACTCCGCTACGTTATTACCAATTTACGCGATTTACACGATGCAGCAATGAAGACCGCTGACTCCGTATCAAGGCAGCTGGACCACTTGTGGTGCTGAGATGAGGGTGGGAACGCTGGCGGCTATCTTGGTCCTTCGTCACAGTGCTTTTCTTCTTGTACGTGACGGCTTTGCTGTTGACAGACTCAGGACGAATGCACGGGACTTGTTTTGATTCTGGATGTTGCTGTTCGATGAATTTATTTGTGTCGGAAGTATAGCGGCGGCGTCTGTGTCCTCCTAGTGTGGATGATGTTGATGAAGATAAGTGCGTCATCTTAGCTTTGTTGTCAACTTCATTCAAACTGCTTGCCGTCGGCGGTACCATGCGGTTGCACCCGGAATGTCTCATCTCGTTCTGTGCGACATTAGCAGTACACACGCAAAACCTTCATAGTCCCAAGACAAAAAGACTAAACACATTCAAGATTTTAGTATAATCGATTCTTCCACCCACTCCACCCCCCATCCTATCCTATCCTATCCAATCCACCCTCCATATCTCTAATATCTAACAAGTGAAAAGTTTGGTGTTGGGTATATACAACTTAACGCACAAAAGACCTCCCAAGTACGGTGCAACGACTTGCCCGCCAGTGCCAACGAAGGCATTTGTGTAGACATCTACATAGGAAAAACGATGCTGATAACAATCTCGATGCTAAGTACAAAAAGGAGAAGAGGCTTATTAGTACGTATATATGTGTAAGAGATGTTGCGGTAGGCAAAAATGTACCGTTCTGTTGTTGATATAAAGAAAAATTGAACTGGGGGTATCAAGCCGCAAGGCCGGGTATAATGGGTATAGCGAAAAGCCGAGCTGAGTAGTAGTAGTTAGAAAGATAAGAAACGACAAACGAAAATTTGCGGTAGATATGAGATATGTGGGAAATGGAGAAAAGGGGAGATATCGCTGTAGAGTGTGGACTGTTCCGTGTATCGCGTTCCGTGTATCACGTTACGCCTTTGCCCGAAAGAGTCCGACGCCGGTTTGGTGAACAATTTCTGCTGTTCTATGAACAGCATCAAGCAGTCTCTCGAGTTCGATCAACCCATCGAGACGCTGGGGTCGTTGGAGCCGACAAAGCCCGTTGACATGCCCATGTCCATGCGCAGGAATTGGTCTTGGTGGCTGTCGAGACCGTCCATGCCGCTTGACATGCCCATGGAGTTGCCCATGCCGCTCATGTTGTTTTGGTTCATGGCGTGGGGGTCCATCATGGCTAGCGATTCTCGGCGACTGCTGTCAGCTGAGCCGACGTGCTGCACATGGGGCGAGAGCTGGTGCTGCTGGTGGGGCCGGAAGTCTTGGTTGCGCGACTGGTTCATGTGCTGGCGTGCGGCTGCCCATGCTTGGGCTTGAGCCTGCGCTTGAGCAATCTGGGCCTGCGTGATGTGCTGGGTAGGTTGCATGTGTGGCTGAAACTGTTGCGAAGGATGTGGCGGGGTGGGCTGGAGGGGTGCTCCGTGGTGATGTTGGGGCTGGGGGTGATGCAAGGCTTGTTGTTGGGCCTGATGTTGCATCTGATGCATCGAGTCATCTTCCTCAATGGTTTGGGGCGTCAGGTCAATGTCGTCGTCGTCATCGTCGCCTTCCGCATCAACCTGATCGCAGTCTCCATCACCACATACGGTGGGCGGCGCGCTAAAGGGCATGTTGGATTCGACCTTGATTGGGCTGCCTTGCCTGGGCTGGTTCACAGTAGCGAATTGTGGTGGGATGCTAGCCATGGAGCAGCTTCTGGTACTGGTACCACCGGGCAATGGCTTTTGCGCGCCCATGCCGGAGACCGAGGCCCTGTTCTCGCGTATAGCGGTCCGCCACTTGTCGATGAGGCGGTCGTAGTCCCAGTTGCGGTAGTCCATGCCGTGCTTAGCAAGCTCCCTAGCCGTGTCGGTACCAAGGTTGATGCTGATGGGCGATACATCGGGAGCGCCTGAGGTCCAGCGGTTGGCTTTCAGGTATTCAATTTCCCTGCGTGCATTCCCCAGCTGCACCTCGGCTTCCCGTCGCCTGTCGTCGGCACGGGCATAGCAGCGCAGTATCTCAACCTGCCAGCACTCCTGCCTCGTCTTATCTGACTGCTGTGTCCAGTGGTGGAAGGCGTCTGCAATGTGGCCAAAGAGGCGTTGTGGGTCGTGGTCGAAGAGCGGTGGGGTGGGCAGGGGCGAGGTGGTGGTGGAAGGAGCGGAAGAGTGTGAGCCCGAGGGATAGACCTGGTTGATCTGGCGCTGGCGCTGGTAGGCAAGCAGACGCTCGCGGACCTGCTTATTCAGCGCTTCGAACTGCTTCTGTCCCGGCGGGGTGATGGACCATGACTCGGACGTGGGAAAGGGCGTGGGGGAGAAGAGGGTAGAGGGCGCGGGGAGGATCTGGAGGCACAGCGAGGGGAAGCTCTGGGTGTAGGGGTCGAATTCGAAGAGGCCGGAGCCGGATGCTTTTGCGCTGGTGCTGTTAGCAGGATATATGGTGAGTGAATTGGTGACGTACTTGGCTACTTGCACGCTCTTCAGTAGCTCCCGCAGCGCCATCTCGGTGGCACTCGCAATCTCAGTCTCCTCATTCGACTTCTGCCTCTGGTCCAGCTCGGCTTTTCGCGACTGCCGCGATGCGTCCCGGCGCGGGTCTGGTGTTTTGGTGTTGAGTCGTGAGGGCCGGTGGCCGCTTCCCCAGCTCACATCCTTGAACTGCCCCCTCGTCTTGCCCACCTCGAGCGGCTCATCGTCGTCTTCCGGGCTCTGCACGAGGACCGAATCCTCGCTCGCTATGCGCTTCTTGTTCGCGGGCGTGCTCGTGCCGCTGTCGTCTCTCCGCGGTGTTGACACGCTGCCCTTGGCCTGCCGCCGTGTGATGCCGCCGCGCAGCTTCCGTATCTCGTCGACATTGTGCACGCCATCGGGCGCCTTTGGATTTTTCGGGCGGATGTACAGGTCCAGATGGCGTCCCAGGCTGGACGAGGTGAAGGCCTGGCCGCAAAAGGGACAGTTCTTGTCCTTGGCCGCCTTGAGCTGTGGTTCGGCGGTGGAGCGAGGCGTGGACGATTCGGTTTCGCCCATGATGGCTTGCAGATATTATTACTCAGGGTTCCCAAGCTCGAGCTTATCTCGATACGCAGAGTCGTTCATGCGTGCCTTGGGTAGAAGGATTATAGCTGCAGCTATGACATTACTATTACGGTCGGAAGGGGTAGTATACAAGGAAAGATGGGCATAGTGCACGCCAATGGCTAATGAGAGGAGACCAATTGGACGCTGCAGGCAAAAGGAGCGACGCGTTCGTTGGAGCAATATTATCTCGCTGCGGCTTGGCGCGAAAAGCTGCCCCTAATGCCTCTGCCGGGCACTATGATGCGCGCGCAGGAGGCGCGCAGTCAGCCGTGCGTGCAGCGGGAAGCCAGCCCGCCCGAACCAAAGGGCCCGACCTGTCTGACAGGACTCTACGGACTCTGGACGCGACGCACAAATTGCACTCGCGTCTATTTTCGCTCTACTTACTTTCCGCCCTGGCCAGCCTCGCCGCTGTCCGCGCCGCAATGTCCTCATACTCGTCCATGCCGCCGTCAAGCTTCCTGAGCTGCCCTCTAGTCAGCCGAAAAACGCTCCCCGGAGCTAACCCTGGCGCTTCATCCTCCGACTCGCTGCTGTCGTCAGCCTCGCCCTCGGACGCGTGAACCCCTGGCGCTAGCTTGTACGCCGACTCCCTCTGCACCACCGTTCTGCGGGGTGTTAGTAAGAACTCTATTTATTGACTGCAATAATCTCACCTCATGAAGAACCGGTCGTGTGTCACCACCAGCAGCGCTCCATCGTACTCGCGCAGCGCCATCACGAGACCCAAAATAGTATCAGCGTCGAGGTGCGTCGTCACCTCGTCGAGAATGAGCAGTTGCGGCGGCGGCCATAGCAACTTGGCAAGTGCGACCCTGACCTTCTGCCCTCCCGACAGGAGCACGAGCGGAACATCCGACACCGTCTGGCCATGGAGTCCCAGTCCACCCAGCACTGTCCGCGCATCCTTCTCCTGTGCGCCCTCGCTAATACTTTCCATCACGTGCCGGAGCGCTGTCGTCTGAGGGTTGGCAGCCGCGGTCGCAGTGAGCTCTTCGACCGACTGCTGCGAGAAGCGGCCAATCTTCACCCTTGCATGGCGCGCGACACTGCCAGATGTGGGCTTGAGACCGCCCTCTTCATCACCGCCCATTATTATGGAGACCAGCGTCGTCTTGCCCGAACCGTTCAGGCCTGCTAAACCTACCCGGTCCCTCGGATGTATGGTCAGACTGACGTCGGTCAAGATGGGCAATTTCTTTCGCCCAGGGTATGCAAATGACACCTTCTCTATACTTACCAGTGCCCCGGGAAACTTCAACTCGGGCGGCTGATGTGGGAAGGAGAGGTGCACTGGGGGATCAAAATCAGGTATCTCAATCTCCGCCCGCTGCGTCGTGTGATAGCCTGCGAGATCGCGGTTCAGCTTGAAGCGACCACCTTTGGCACTGACCTGCAGCCCCATTCTATCATCAAGTTTTTTCTTCCGAGACGCAGCCTGTTTCAATTTCTTGTCGTCTCCCTTGTCCTTGGCGGCCTTGATGTTGCCTGCGATGGTCTTCTCAATGTGCTTCTTCTGCTTGTCCTGGGCATCCTTCATCTTAGTCATGTACCTGACCTTCTTCCATCTTTCGCGCTCGTACAGACTGAGGTTACCGCGGAAAGTCTCGAGAACCTGGTTGCGGAGGACAATGAGCTCTTCGGCTACCGCGTCTCCAAAGTCGCGATCATGGGTCGTTATGAGGACAGTCGTGCCTTTGAGATTGCGGATATAGTCTTGTAGCCAGATAATTGACGGCAAGTCTAGGAAGTTGGTGGGCTCGTCCAGAAGTAGTACGTCCGCATACTGTGTGAGAGCACAAGCTAGATCGCAGCGCGTCTTCCATCCTCCTGAGAGTTCCGACACAGGCCTGTCGATGCGATCCGCCTTGAAGCCAAGGCCTAGCAAGACCACGCGTGCTTTCGCTTCTGCCTCAGCTGCATCCATGAGCTCGAGGGAGGCCTGCACACCAGCAAGCAAATCCGCAGCTGCCTGTGTCTCTTCGCTGAGCTTGGTAGCATCGATCTCAGTCTCCTGCAGCCGCTTCTCAGATTCTTCGAAGCGCTCTTCAAGCTTAATCAGCTCCTTCCTGGCTGCTTTACCCCGAGCACCACTCCTCCTCTCAGCAATCCGATGACCCTCTCTCAATTGCAAACCTAATCTTTCATGCCCAATACGCCTGTACGCCTGAACCGGTGCCATGGAATCAACAGAGTTCTCGACCGCCTCACTAAGCAATTTCGCTTCTCGCACGTAGCGCTCTCGAACCCGATCACTCCGGACAACATGCTGCAGGACAGTCTCGCTCTCCAGGCTCAACGCAGTCATCTCATCTCCCAAGTCGTCCTCTCTCGTCTGACCTAGAAGGAGAATGCGCGTACTCCATGGTATACCCGGAACCAGACCATCGGCGATGGCTTTGAGGAGTGTCGACTTTCCTGTTCCGTTTCGACCTACCATCACGTAGTGGCGTGCTTCTACCAGGTGAAGTGTTGTACGTGATAGTAGTTCGCGGTTAGCGACTGTGATAGACAGGTCTTTGACGAGTATCTACGTGAATCAACTCGGGTATATGTGAGAGAGCTCCGCTGATTGCTAACCTCTTTCGACGCGGGTGCATCGACAGAATCAACTGCGTACCGCGATTGCTGCGCCGTGACTGTTATGTGTCCACCGCCGTGATGCTCTTCGGCGGCTGGTGCTGCCTCTTTCGCTTTGCGTACCATTGTGAAAGTGTGGTCGTGGAATGGCGAGCTTAGCAGTGGGGTCGCTGGAATGGTCTCTTCGACTGTCGATTATGGTGATCCTGGGTATCAGCAACTTTCCAGCTCATATACACGAAGGAAGATATGGCCAAGCAGGGCTAGCGCGAACCTGTGGCAGGGAATGCGCGATGCTAAGACAAATGGCGCTCGGCTCAGGATGAGTCGACGCCGTGGCTTCTGATTGGCTAGATGGGTGATGACTAATCATTGGAGGAAGGCACAGCAAGACGACCCACGAGATGACCTCAACGCCTGCTTACGGCTACCAACAAGGCCTCCTATTGATCTCCAAACTCTTCCTTCAGCTCCAGAAACTCTGTTATATAACCCACCAGCTCCTTCAACTCCTCATCATTATCGTCCTCGTATGTCGCGTCTTCCGGCCACCTCCCTCCGGCTCGCAAGATGGCGCTTCTCGACTCTCCGGTCTCACGTACTCGCTCTTCCCAGTATGGTTGCTCAAGTTTCTCTTTCAAGAACGTGTAGCGTTCTTTTCGGGCCTGCTTCTCGGGAGTGGGGATGGTGTTCGAATTCCGTGATCCTCGTCGCGCCTTTTTCCTCTTCTTCTTCGACGTGGCGTTGACTTGATTTGTATACGCCGCCCATAATAAACGACGTTGCTCCGAAGGATGAACCTCTTCCCAACCTGGGACACCTTCAGGGAACTCATATCCCATGGAAAGTGCTTGGCGCTGTAGGTCCGCGATATGTTCGAGGTACTGCCGGTCTGCTTCTCGTTGCTGGATCGCTTTGAGTCGTTTCGTTCTGGCCGCTAGCCGCTTCGAGGTCAGCGGTGTCTTCTTGTCGCCACTCGCATCGCTTTTAGGGGAAGAGAGAATGTCAGTGTAACCCATACTAGCCAACCAGCCATCCAACAGCTCGATATCTCCTTCTAACCGCGTTACCTCCGAGTCTTCCAACGCTTCGTAGCCAGAGACGTTCAGCGGGAAGGGTACTTTCTCTTCTTCAGCTTTTTTTCTGTACCCCGCGAGTTTCAACATCCACGCCCTCTTCACTTCGACATTTCTATCCTGACTCAACGCCTCCCTCGTCGCGTTCTCGTCTTGCACGTCCGAGAAGTACGGCGCGTTGTGTTCCGGTATCTGCACCCCATTCCGACTAGCCATCTCCCGTCGCTCTTGCTCCCTGGCCTCCCTCAAACTATCATTCTTCCACTCTTCCTCTCTCGCTCGCAGTAGTCGTCTACGCTCGTCCGGCGTTATTGCCACGTGCGTGCCAGAGGGAGTTGAGGTACCGGGTGGCCCGGCGCCACCTGTACAGAGATAGTCTTCATCGGGGTCTTGATTTGATGTGTAGGTGAGCAGTGTAGCTTGCTGTCCGTCGACCGGCGAGGTGTAGATGTCGGGAGATCTGTCATACGGTACTATGCCTTGAGCGTGTGATTTGGGGGCCGGTCCGGGAGGGTAGGGGGTTAGACATGTGGTGCAGAATGGGGATGTAGATTGGCTGTCGAAGTCGCAGAGGGGGCATCGTATTGTTGAAGTGGCGAGAGTACTCGAATGAGCACCAGAATGCGGCCCGCTCAAATCATCTCGTGTCTTCGCGTTCGGTGCATCTGCCTTTCGACACCGCAAAGCCCTCAACTCAGCGTCGGAGAAGGGCGTGAAAATCGTTCCGTATCGTCGCTCTTCTTTTGTCGACTGCTTCAGCATCGTGGGATCTACCTTCTTCGCCAAAGTTCGCGTGACAGAATCCACCCTTTCCTTCTCTTCTCGTGTAGCGCTATGTATTCCACTTTGTGAGCCCGAACACTCCCCAGGTACATCCACCATCTCAAACAACTCTCTCACTACACCTGCTCTATGCACATCGCGGACATATCTCGGAATCCCTCTAAATAACCTGTGTACGGTTTTAGATACACAGATGCAGGTATCTACGCCCTTTATACCAATGTGCGCTAAGTGACTGAAAGTACACTTTGCAGCAGCGGGTATGATGCCGAAGCGTGCAGTTGCCGAGCCGTAGAACGAGTTGGGTATGTGTCGTTTTCGTGGGGGTTGGGTGGGTTCGGCGTGATGGGATGGTGCATATGATTGAGGGGGTTGTGAGGGGTGGGGATGGGTATGGGAGGTGATAGGCTCTGGGTTAGTGTTGTCGTCTATGTCGGTTCTAGCTCTCTTGCGTAGTATTTTCTGGGGAGGAGGAGGAGGGATGTAGCTTTTGAGAGACGCTGTCTCAACTTCCGTCGTGACGAGATTTTGTGGTTTCCTCTGGTACAACCCAACACCGTGGTCTCTGCCAAACGCAGCGTCAACATCCGCTATCGTCACGTTTCGTGCGCGACTCGCATCAGATACCCTTGGAGGAACATGTATTCTTGAAGTTGCGATGCTTCTCATTCGAGCGTATCTCCTCGCGTAGGGATCGCATGGAGCGCTGCAAATGGGCTTGGCTCGTCGTCTCTGTGTCATCGTGGTGGCAGTCGGAGGATGTAGGGTGAGCATCTCGGTACCATGGCTCATGAATGATGGTGATGCGTGCTAGATCGGGATAAAGGTGAGTGTGTACAAAGACTTTGTATGGTATAGCGCGAGTGATAAGAGTGGCGAAATCGAACAAAGGGTGGTTTGGCAAGACAAAGCGTAAAGAAAAGGCCTGACAATCTGATGACGGTATGAATCTTGTAACTCAACGGCAGGCGGAAGTTGTCATTGTGCGAATTAACATCCGGGTATTCAAATGGTCTTCAACATCAGCAGATTTCGAGCCATGCGTAGCACAGGACAATTAAAAAAGTCCTCCACAGCCACTCAACCCTGCCTAGCCCTCAAATCCGCCTGCCTCCCTCTCATACTCTGAAAGAACCCCTGCATCAAGCTCTGATCAATCCGACTAAACTCCCACCACCCCTCCTGCGCCGAATCCGTAGTCCCCACATAAACCTCCCTCGGATGCAACCGCGCACAAGGCCAAAGTCCAAATGGACGAACCGACAGCGTGGCAAGCAGCGGATACACTTCTTCCAGAAGCAGGCTCGACAAAATCTTCATCTCGCCCTTGTATCCCGGCGACACTTGGTCGATAAACTCCTGGGAAAGTAGATCGAGTGTTGTGTCTACAAGGCGCACATGGCCGCCATTACTTCCCCATGACGCACCGTACGGAGGCGGCGGTCGTGTTTCCTCGGTTGGAGGGTCGACATGCGATTTGAACGCTTGTTTGTCCACGACGAGGAAATCTTGCGTCCACATACGGCCTAGCGTGGGTAGCATGGTGAAAGTCCGCTTGAAGTGTTGTTTCGCAGCCGCGATGTCGCCTTCCGCGATCCCAGCCTCTCGGCCGTCGATGAACATGATTTTGGCCTTGTTCTTGATCGCGTCGAAGCCCGAGATCCACGTCCCAGATCGCATGACGTCTTTGGTGAAGTTTTCTTGAAAGGTAGCCCATTCTTCGTCTGTTTCCGAGTAGGTTAGGCGGTAGCATACGAAACCCCATGCATCGGGATTTCTCTCTAGGTTGCGCGGGTTCTTTGCGTAGAACTCCATGCGCTCGCGTAGAATGGTGATCCAATGTTCCTGCGCGACGGGCTTGGGTGGACCGCAGAGGGTGAGGCGGGTTTCATCGCGGTTCTTCTTGCCTTCTTCGTAGTGGCCGAGGAGATTCTCGGTGTCGCGGAAACGGGGATGGGCTGGCTTGGTGAGTTGGCCCATTATGTCCATTTGTTCTGCTAGGGAGGGTGGGTTGGCAGCGGACTCGGCGGCGGCTTTGTCTTCGGCTTCTAGAATGGCTAACTGGTGCTTGAAGGACTTGCTTCCCATGATTTGGGACCAGGTGTTTTTGCGTTGGGCTACGGGGAGGTCGGTAAAGGCGTTGGTGGCTGTGTAGCCCTTGAAACCGGTCATGGGAACGCCGATTGTGTACTCGAGTCTGGTGAGCATGCCTCTGAGATCTTGGACACACTCGTAGTACTTCTTGCCGGCTTCGCCTATAGCTGCTTCGTCGGTTCCAGCGGTTTTGAGTGCCTCTTGATACTGCTCGAAAGCACGCGCTTGAACTTCATCCACGCGATCTACAACCCATTGATGCGTTCGCGTTGACATGTTTGTCATCCCGTCGTTCCAGTACTCTGCCCACATTCCAGCAAGATCCAATCTCTCTTCGACGCCATTTTGCTCGCGTCGCAAATTAGCTGCCTTCTGGAATTCGACATATCGGTCGACCATCCAGTTGAAAGCGTCGCGAGTCCGGGTGTGGACCTCCTCGTGATTGAACCACTCGAATACTTTGGTGAGGTCATTGATCAATTCGAAGAGATTCCTGTAGTTGGCAGGGTCATCCATCTTGCGTTCTACCCAGCGATCTCCGCTGATTGGCACCATACCAAGCAAGAGCTTTGCTTTGAGAGGGCGTAGACGCGCGAGGAAGCCCATGTGTGGTGATCTTCGGAGCTCTGGGATTTCTTGCCTCTTCATCAGCGGTGCAATGCGGTCCATGCAACTGTAGTTGTTTCTGTTGAAAGGTGCAGGGGCCCATTGACTGTATGGCGCGGTCAGCAGCCCGTATTCTTCTTGTGTCATGAGTGGGAAAGACGGACGGCCGCCGCCGGGTCTGCGACCGCCAGTACTGTAGTCACTAAAGCCCTGTAGGTTTCGCACTGATACGAGGTCCTCCTCTTGTATTTGTTAGTGTATGGTCATGAGTTGAATGAAGGGTTAGTACCATAAACAAGATTGAGCAGCTGTTCGTGACTCCATGATGCATGGTCACCGAACCAGTCCTTCATGTGCTTCTCCGCCGCATCAAGATCCATATTGCGAAGGCTTTCTTCCATTGTCTCTTTCCCTCCGGCAGTAGCGGTATGCGATGTTGAGGTGAATTGTTGATAGCGGACTATGGGAATCTGTCTTTGCATTTGTAGACTCGAAGACAGGTACGGTGTAGAACGAGCTATGCTACATCTGGGCACGCGCCAGGCTGCAATGCGCGAGGCCTGTCGG